AATCAGCATAACACCATTAATGCAGTGAACTACTATGATGTTTTGTGGAAAGTCGAAGCCAGCAATTTCTCTGCAGACAATATTATGGGAGAGAAAAGAATTGACACAGCCCTGATGTGAGATTGTGAAGCTGTACTGTTGGCTCTGTCAGGTAAAAGCAAACTGCTTCTGGTGTTTTTTTTTCCAAATTAATTTGGAGACAAGAGCTTTGCTCAGGTTAACAGCTGCATACCAAGTACTAGGGGCTTCTTAAGACTTGCTCCTATAAAGATATAATATTTGGGCCAGGAGTGGTGGCTCACACCTGTAATCCCATCACTTTAGGAGGCTGAGGTGAGAGGATTGCTTGAGCCCAAGAGTTTGAAACCAGCCCGGGCAACATAGTGAGGCCTTGTCTCTATAAAAAAATCAAAAAATTAGCCAGGTCTGGTGGTGCATGCTGGTAGTCCCAGCTACTCGGGAGGCTGAGGCAGAAGGATTGCCTAAGCCCAGGAGTTTAAGGCTGCCATGAGCCATGATTGTGCCACTGAACTCCATCCAGCCTGAGTGTCAGACTGAGACCTCAATTAAAAAAAAAATACACACACACGTGTGTGTGTGTGTCTATTTTATCTGGAACAGGAGCTGCAACTGGAGTCACTATTTACAATAATTCACAGTCAAGTCACTCTCCAAGATCCATGCTGCAACTTTTGCACAAGCCAAACAGCTGAGCTAAATGGGAATGTGATATTACCACTGCAGCTTCTTTCAAGTCTTTGGTGATGGCACTAATCTCTACAGTTCCACCAGGGGTGCAGCATTGTTTCTGGTTTATTGGGGGTTTTGTTGTTGTTTTGTGTTTTGTTTTATTTTGAGTGGGAGTCTCACTCTGTCGCTCAGGCTGGAGTGCAGTGGCACCCTCACGGCCACCCCAGCGTCGACCTGCTGGGCTCAGGCCGTCTTTCCATCTCAGCCTTCCAAGTAACTGGAACTACAGGTGCATGCTACCGTGCCTGGCTAATTTTCTGATATATTGTAGAGACGAGGTCTCAACAAGTTGCCCAGACTGGTCTTGAAGCCCTGGGCTCAGGCAATCCTCTTGCCTTGGCCTCCCAAAGTGCTGGGATTACAGGCTTGAGCCACTGTGCCCGGCCAATCCCCTATTTTGACTAGGGGCCACAGTGGTGTTTTGGGTCCCCAGAGCCAATATTTAGTAATCTCAAAAGCTATGACACTTTCTTTTCCCCAGCACATGAGAACTCTGCAAGTAGCCACAAGCTTTGGGGATAAGGCTTAGAGGAAGACTTACAAGGATGTACTTGCAGCAGTGTGGCAGAGTTCATCCTTGGGAAGCTATCCTACCCTTTATGCTCACTGGAATAGAGAGACTCTGGGTCTGGGAAGTGACTTCATTCTGGAAACTGGGCAGGAGGTCATGGCTCTCTATTGTGGTGACTCAAATCAGGTTTTAGGCTCCCAGACCTGGCCTTTATTTTTCCTGCTATGCTTTTTATGCTTGAGTAGGCAGCCCATCAATGTTGTTCGTACGGTCACCATGAGCAATTAACCATTGCCAAATCTTCCTGTGGCAAAGACATCCTGATGACCATCACATCTCTGCCGCCCTTCACAGTTGATGTGCTCACCTTGTCTTTGATGGTGAAGTGCTGCCATGTATACTTTGGCACCTCAGGATCCCATCATCCCACTGAATCAGGGGACTGCTATCAATGACAATATCCCTTACCTTCATCCCTAGCCTACACAGGAAAGGAACCACAGAGCTTTTTAGGGATGCAGTGCTCCCTTCACTAGTGGACTTCTCCACTTCTTAGTAGAGGAGTGTCTTCTGGGCCCTCTCGTGGTTAGGGACGGGTGTCTGGTGGTAGCTGTGTAGGTTCCACGTGATAAATCCACTCCTGACGTTCTTATCTCCCTAAATCTTTGGATTCTTTCCTCTAGATCACAGCAGGGAAGCTCTGGCATCTCCATCTCATCAAATGTAGGCAGCTATGAGTCAGCTCCAGCGGCAGAAGCAAACGTGGACAATCCGGACTCTCTAGTATGCACCCACGTCAATGAATTCAGTCCAATCCAGTGTTCTATTCCACGCTCCTTGTTCTAACACTTTCGGAATCCATTCCCACACAAGTCCCCAGGTTTCTCCCAATATTTATTAGCAAAACCTTCTAATTCTTTTGGGGTGTAAGCTATTTTCTTCTGAGTTGCTGAGATGTGACCTAGTTCTAAATCCAGTGACAATACGGCTGATTGTGCTGGGTTTAATGAAGAAGCATCCCCTGTAAGGCATCTTCCTCAGATGAAGCTATCACAGGATTTTGGGGCAAAGAGAGTCTGTTTTCCAGACACAGGAGGCAGACCACTTCCACTGCAAAGAAGCCTCACAGTGACGTGGAAGCTCAAGATTTTCAGTTTTATCTAAATCCAACTGGATGTTCCCATTCCAGGCTTCAGGGCCCCATTCTTTCCCAATGAGTGCCCTAACTTGCACATGAGATAACTATGTGTGATCCTGGACGAAACATCATTAAAACCAACAACAGAGAAACGATGCCCCATTATCATGCCCACTAAACAACATTACACTTGACTCACCAGTATGCAATACTCCATGCAATGAAAAAAGACATATAATGAAAAGGAACATATCTCAAATTGTTATTATTTGCACTCGGTAAGATTTTCTACCTAGAAAATCCAAATGAGTCAACTGAAAAGCCATTAGAACTCGAGTGAGAGGGTATAAGGACTCCAGAGCAATATATGAAACTAAATGTCCTTTCCATATACCATGCACTGAGAGACATGGCCAAGAACCTCTAGCATTGTTAGCACGACTGGTATCAACCTAAGTCTCCTGACAGAAGAATGGCTAACTACATTTTTATGTATTATATAGTAGCTATACTGCTGGAGAAAACATTAAAGACAAAGAAATTTAAAAAGAAAAAAGAGCCAGGTGGTGGTTCATCCCAGCACTTTGGGAGATGGAGGCGAGAGGATTGCCTGAGCCCAGGGGTTCAAGACCAGTCTAGGCAACTTGGTGAGACCTTGTCTCTACAATAAATCAAAAAATTAGCCAGGCGTGGTGGCGCGTGCCTGTGGTTCCACCTACTTGGAAGGCAGAGGTAGAAGGATCACCAGAGGTAGAAGGATCACCTGAGCACAGAAGGTCGAGGCTGCAGTGACTGTGAGCATGCCATGGCACTCCAGCCTGGGTGTCAGAGTAAGACTCTGACTCAAAAAAAAAAAAAAAAAAAAAAAATTAGCCAAGTGGCGCACACCTGTAGTTCCAGCTACTTAGAAGGCTGAGGTGGAAGGATCGCCTAAGCCCAGCAGGTCAAGGGTGCGGTGGCCATAAGTGTGCCACTGCACTCCAGCCTGGGTGAGAGAGTGAGACCCTCTCAATAAAACAAAACAGTATGAATCCATGTATGTAAAAAACAAATACTAAAAAATGCATATTTGCAGGTACAAGTACATATAGGAAAATAAAAAGACAAGGAAGAAACTTATTTTCTGAAAGAAAAGTAATTTAAGAGGGCTTCACTTTTTTGTTGTTGTTTGTTTTTGGTTCATCATAGAAACACTTTTTTTTATTAGAAAATATAGTTTATGGCCAGGCGCGGTGGCTCACTCCGATAATCCCAGCACTTTAGGATTATAAGTAAGAGGATTGCCTGAGCTCAGGAGTTTGAGACTAGCCTGAGTAATGTGGGGAGACCTCATCTCTACAGTAAATCAAAAAATAAGCCAGGTGTGGTGGCGCATGCCTGTAGATCCAGCTACTTGGAAGGCTGAGGTAGAAAGATCGCCTGAGCCCAGCAGGTGGAGGCCGCGGTGGCCATGAGCACGCCACTCCACTGCACTTCAGCCTGGGCACAAAGTGAGACTCCAACTCAAAAAAAGAAAAGGAAAAGGAAATATAGCTTATTAAAAGTAAGTTAGAGGAGCTAGGCTCGGTGGCTCAGCCTGTAATCCCAGCATTTTGGGAGGCCGAGGCAAGGGGATTGCCTGAGCCTGCAGGTTCAAGACCAGCCCGTGCAACTTGGTGAGACCTCGTCTTATAGTAAATTAAAAAAAAAAAAAAAAAGGCGGGTGTAGTAGTGCATGCTTGTAGTTCCAGCTACTTGGAAGGCTGAGGCAGAAGAATCGCCTGAACCCAGCAGGTTGAGGGTGCGGTGGCATAAACTTGCCACTGCACTCCAGCTTGGGCGACAGAGTGAGGCTCTGACTCAAAAAAAAAAATTTTACAACGGCTGGTACTACTGAAGATACCTTGAAATGACTTCCAGTATATGTTGCTGATGGCAGCATAGATTAGAAATTATTAGTAACATTTACCAAGAGTCATAAGATACCAGTATCTCTGAAATAATAACCTCATGCTTGAAATGTACTTTTAGTAAATAATTGCAGGAAAGAAAAATAGCTCTTTGGGCAAAGCTTTCATTACTAATTACTTGTGCCAATAAAACTTTGGAAACAGACTAAGTATCCAAAATAAAGGGTATCAAGTAAACTATGGCATAGCCATTCAGTGGAACATTAAACAACTGTTTCATTTTATAAAAAGACTGTAATAACATGAAAAAAATGAGTGAAAAAGCAATTGGTAATTTTAAAAATCTTCCCCCAACTGATAATGTTTTTTTATAATGTTAAAAAATCAGTAAATTTTATTTTATTTTTTATTTATTGCCCACTACACTGAGGAGAAACATTTTATTTTAAAATTATGACTATGAAGCAATATAGGAATACAAAAATTGTTTCATATATAAGCTAAATGATAAAGGCAGAAGACAAAATTTTACCTGTACTCACTGAAATTCCAGCTAAATTTAATGTCTAATCAGATAGAGAACTCTGAAAGAAAACATCGGCTATAGTTCATTAGGCTGGAAGAATTATGGGTGATTTTTCTTTCCTTTAAAAAACTTTTTTTCTCTCCTCAGTATTTTATAATCAAGGATAAAAACGTTTTGGGGACCCACCTGCTGCTCCTTTTTAAGGAAGATTTCAATCTCCATGTGAATCTGGTTTTCTTCTTCGGTTTTCATCCTTAGTTTCTGCAAGAACAATAATCAAACACCAGCAGTTCTCCCATGCAGGGCTGGAAGCTGTAAGTTCTGGAGACTAGCGCCCCAGCCTACATGGCAGTACAGGCCGTGTGTATGGCTGCCTAGGCGCTGCAACTCACTGTGGTTCCACACAATGCATGTTCACAAACAGTGCTGAGCCATGTCAGGGCCCCAACAAAAGGACCACAGTCGTGTTACCTGGAAAATGATGGCCATTTCAGGAGAGAAACAGAGTGCACAAGGTTCTCGGGCCCAGAAAAGGAAATTCCAGAGTGCAAAAAAAGAGTGCTGTCATGGCTTTGAGCACACCTGGGGAGTTAACTTTCAAAGATGCTCAAGTCCAGAAAAAGGGCCCTGCTGCACATGAATTACACTCTCTATGAATGCTTGCTCCTTCTACCTGTTGTTCCACTTGTTTTTTCTTTTTTTTTTTTTTAATTGGAGTCTCACTCTGTCGCCCAGACTGGAGTGCAGTGGCCGCTCCCGGCCACCGCAGCCTCGACCTGCTGGGCTCCAGCGATCCTTCCGCCTCAGCCTTCCAAGTAGCCGGAATTACAGGCATGTGCTATCACACCCGGCTGAGTTTTTGATTTATTGTAGAGATGAGGTCTCGCTGCCCAGGTGGGTCCCGAACCCGCAGGCTCAGGCAATCCACTCACCTCAGCCTCCCAAAGGTGCGGAATTAAGGCTGAGCCACCGAGCCCGGCACACTTTTTTTTTTTTTTTTTTTAAGAGATGGGGCTGCTCTCAAATTCCTGGGCTGGAGCAATCATCCCATTTCTCAGCTTCCCAAGTAGCTGGGACTAGCACCTGGTTTTTGCCTCTTGTTCTTTAACCATTTTGCATTCCTCCTCCAGTGAAGGTCTACCACTTCTTTCTCTCTCCTGATATTTTTCACTAAGACTGTTCTGTAAATTAAGGTCTGAATGAAGTTCAGCTCTCCAGATTTTGTATTTCTTACTAAAAGAGTAAAAGGTACCGGGCGTGATGGCTCAAGCCTGTAATCCTATCATTTTGAGAGGCTGAGGTGAGATGACTGCCTAAATTCAGAGTTTTGAGACCAACCTGGACAATTTGGTGAGAACTTGTCTACAATAAATCAAAACATAAGCCGGGCATGGTAGTGCAAAGTAGTTCCAGCTACTTTGAAGGCTGAGGCAGAAGGATCACCTGAGCCCAGCAGGTCCAGGCTGTGGTGGCTTGAGCGTGCCACTGCACTCCAACCTGGGCGACAGAGTGAGACTCCAACTCAAAAAAAAAAAAAAGATTAAAAGGTACTGGCTAGCTGAAGGTGCAAAACCTGCTGGTACTAAGTCTCTTGTTTTGCCCTCTGCCTATAATGACTAAGAGAAGTGGCTAGTGATTTGATAAGAATAAAGTGACTGAGGGGAGAAAGTACAACCAATTTTCAGTTATTATAAAAGAAGCAGGAGGTGCCGGCTACAGCCTATCAGAATCTCTGCTTGTAAATACCAGCTCCTCATTTGGACTTTTCAACCTCAAGCGTGCGGGCTGCTGAGGAGAACATAGAGTGAATCTTCCTTTCCCTCCTTTGTGAGCTGAGACAGTCTCAAAAGCAACACTTCCCACAGCAGGATTACCTTGACCTCCCTTTCCTCCTTTGTGAGCTGAGACAGTCTTAGCAATGAAACGCAAGACCATCTGCCTGGCCTCTCCCAGCAGGAATTACCTCAATCTCCTCCAGCAAGAGCTCTTCAGCTTTGTTACATTTTTTCTGGGTCTGGGCAATCTGCAGCTCGGTATTTGTTTTCATATAGCGATTCTCCAAGTTGGTTTTTGCCTTCATCTCTTGCAACTGGTCCTTGAGGTGAGCAATATATTCATTCCGACTCTGTAGTGGAAAGACCAGGTTTCTAAATTGAAAATACATTCTATCTCCATTCCGTTTGATCAGTGACTTAAGCGCAACTTTTGTATTGATTTATTTATTTTTTTGAGTTGGAGTCTTACTCTGTCACCCGGGTTGAAGGGCAGTGGCATGCTTTGAGCCACCGCAGCCTCGGCCTGTTGGGCTTGGGTGATCCTTCCGCCTTAGCCTTCCAAGTAGCTGGAACTACAGGCACGTGCCACCACGCCCAACTAATTTTTTTGATTTATTGTAGAGATGAAGTCTAGCCAAGTTGCCTAGGCTGGTCTTGAACCGGTGGGCTCAAGCAATCCTCTCACCTCAGCCTCCCAAAGTACTGAGATTATGGGTGTGAACCACTGCACCCAGTCACCTTTCTTATTTATAAATCAACAAGGAACTGGAACTATGTTTCTGCTATCACTCTATGGGAAATTAAGCCAACAATCATGAATAGTAGAAATGAAAATGAAAGATAACAAAGTCGTTGTAAGAATCAGGACTGTGAGGGTCTCTCACAGGCACACTCTTGGGGAACTCCATATTTCCCACGCAGATTGCTCATTACTATCTCATTTGGGTAGAAAGAACACTAATAAAAATGATCCAAAGAACTGACTTTCCACCCAAGCCTCACCACCCATGTGAACTTGGCCAAGCCAGTTGAACTCTTTAAGTTTTACCTTCTATAAAATAGAAAAGAGCAGGCTGGGCGCAGTGACTCTCACCTGTAATCCCAGCACTTTGGGAGGCCGAGGTGAGAGGATTGCCTGAGCCCAGGGGTTCGAGACCACCCTCAGCAACTTGGTGAGACCTCGTTTCTATAGTAAATCAGAAAATTAGCCAGACACGGTGGCACACGCCTGTAATTCCAGCTACTTGGAAGACTGAGGCGGAATGATCGCCTGACCCCAGCAGGTCAAGGCTGCAGTGGCTGGGAGTGCGCCACTGCACTCCAACCTGGGTGACAGTGTGAGACTTCGACTCAAAAAAAAAAAAAAAAATAGAAAAAAGAATTAATAGTGTCTGCCCTGCCTGAAATATCTCAGAGAACAATAATAAAAATTCATTGAGGTTATGTGTGAAAATTCTTTGCCAGTTACCAAATGCTTGGCGATTTTAAGGGCTCAATATTCATTAAGAAAAGCATTTATGGCCGGGCTGGGTGGCTCAGCCTGTAATCCCAGCATTTTGGGAGGCCGAGGTGAGTGGATTACTTGAGCCCGCGGGTTCGAGACCCACCTGGGCAACTTGGTGAGACCTCATCTCTACAACAAATCAAAAAATTAGCTGGGTGTGGTAGCGCGTGCCTGTAGTTCCAGCTACTTGGAAGGCTGAGGCGGAAGGATCGCTGGAGCCCAGCAGGTTGAGGCTGCGGTGGCCGGGAGCAGCCACTGCACTCCAGTCTGGCGACAGAGTGAGACTCCCACTCAAAAAAAAAACAAAAAACAAAAAACAAAATTGTTGGCTCAGGGTGGAATAAATAGTAAATGGCAGAAAAGGAAGTCGAACAAGGTAGACATGGCTCCAGAGTTCTTTTTTTTTTTGAGTTGGAGTTTCACTCCGTCGCCCAGACTGGAGTGCAGTGGCCGC